GGGGGTGGGGGGCGCCGGCCGGGGCACAACATCGTTATCTGCTGCGGTGGAGTGGGCCGAGCTGGACAGCAGTGGTAGTAGTACTGACGGTGGGAAGAAAAAAAAGGGTGTCTAGTAAACTATCGCGGAGCAGGGTATTTATGTGCGGTATAATAAAACTCTTTTAATATACTGATGAGATTTTATCATGCCAGCGAGTGAAAGTTTGCGTGACATAACTTACAATCGTGGAGAGTTGTTCTGTTAGTGTGTATTGAATGCGGCGTGTCGTGTGTTAATATGCAGGGGTTTGAAATTTCGCGGTTTCCCTTGCTTGCTACTCCTGGTAGTAGTTGTTGGTGTTGTGCAGGTAGTGATGCGCCGCGTGTTGCACCCGTTGCTGCTGGTGGTGCTGCTGCTGGCGCCAGCTGGACGCCGCTCCTCCGCGGCCCGCGACGTGCTCCTCGCGGTAGCGGTGCTCCTCCTGCAGGGCGGGGCCGGGCCGGCCGCGGTACACCTCGGGCTGCGGCCCCAGGTCCGGGTCCACGTAGTCGTCGTCGTCCTCGCCGCGCTCCTCGTGCACCGTCGTGCGCTCCTGCTCCTCCCAGCGCACGCGCGGCACGGACACGGGCGGCACCGTCACGTGCACGTGCTGCTCCTCCGGGATCAGCACCTTGTTGATGTAGTGCACGACCCCCTGCCGGTTGGTGCGGTCGCACGTCAGCACCGTCGCATCGTTCACCTGTCGGGCAGGGTGGTTTTAGGGTGGAAACTTCCAAACAACTAGCGAGCAGTAGACGTACCAAATAGTATGCAATATTATGGATCAAAATTTTTAAAAATCCTCTCAACGCTCTTTGGAAAAAAAAATCCGAAAAAATTGTTTGGAAACTTTTGTAAGGTAAGAACCTTGAAAATTTCCTGAACGCACCCTGAGCTTGCCGTCGGCCCTGGTCACGTGGAGGCTGCTCTGCCTCGAGGGCACCGTGTACTGCAGGTTTTCCCGGAAGGACTCGGTGCCTACCATATCGTCGACCACGTGGTTCTTGAGCGTCTGGTATTGTTGGACACACCCGATTTGTTAAAACATACATCAAACTCTCGATATTATTCACTGACAGCAAATAGTTGTTTCCAGTGCTGAACTGACCCGGGCGAGCAGCGTCGTGTTGGCGAGGAGGCTCTGCAGCTTGGCGACGCCCAGGCGCTGGAAGGCCTGGTCCGACGGCACCAGGAAGGTGTAGGCCGTCCTGCTACCGCGGAACTCGAGCGAGTTGGGCGAGTCCTCCCGCAGGCGGTCCATGGCCCGGAGGAAAGTCCTGAACACGGACGCGTGTCGTGAGCGAGGGCGAAGCATGGCGTGCCGCAAGCAGGCGGGGGAGGGGGAAGGGGGAGAAAGTACGGAGGGAAAGTAACAATGGAAAAGTAACATTGGATAAAGTAACATATGACATATGATGACACACAGTAACACACGATGAAAAACAATAACTTGGCACATGATAGGTGGTTACTCATGAGAAAGAAACTGAAGGAAAAGTAACACAAGAGCAAAGTAACAGTCTAACGCCGGGGGCGGGTAACTACTCATCGCGCGAGACACAAGACCTTGAGGGCGCCGTGGCGGTGGATCTTTTATCAGGAGGCTCCGGCGCGGCCCCTCCTGCCTCCCCTATATAGTGTTACCGCCATGAGCGCCCTCTGGGGACGCTCGCGTGCCCCGCGCCCCGCGGCCACCCGCAGCACGGCGGACACGGTCGGGACGCCCTGAATTAATGGACTAATCAGACGCGCTAAACTGAGAGCCGCGTCTACAACAGGCCAGGCCCATCCTTCTCCTCCTCTACCTTCTCCTCCTCTACCCCCTTCTTCACCCTCTCCCCCCTCTCCTCCTCTACCTTCTCCTTCACCCTCTCCCCCTTCTCCTCCTCTACCTTCTCCTCTACCTTCTTCTCCCCGTCTTCCTCCTCATTCTCGCGGCTTACGTGTAGTTGCCGTCCTGGCGCAGCGTCTCCTCGAGCGTCACGTTGGCCGAGCGCAGGCACTTGGTGATGACGTGCAGCACCCCGTTGAGGCCCTGCACGTCGGGGCGCTCGATCAGGGCGTCCTCCACGCCGTAGCCCTTGCGGTACACCTGCAGGCGCAGCGCGTCGTTCTCCAGCGTCTGCGCCACCTGGTTGTCCGTGATGGTCTCGGTGGCGATCCTGCCCCGGGAGAGGTGCAGCATGACGAAGCTCCTGGCCGCGGCCTGGTCCGCGCGCAGCCTGTTGAGCTGGCCGTACGCCAGCGCTGAGGAAAGGGGTAAGCGAGAGGGTAAACAAGAGCTGTGCGGTGAGGGTTTCTTTACAAGCGGCGGCTGCTTTGCGTCGAGTTTGTAAAGTAGTGCTGGGTGAGAGATCGGCAACATCTCTCCCTCAACACAAACTCCACGCTCCACGCTGACGCTAAGCTCTGCTCTCTGTGACTCACAGGCCATGGCCGCCTCGGACGGAGCGAAGAGCGTGTAGTCGCCGTCGCCGTCGAGGAGGGACTCGAGACCGGCGGCCCGCACCACCTCGGCGAAGCTGTAGAGCCGCTCCTCCTGGACCAGCTGCAGCAGGGTCTTGACTGCGGGCCGGCAGGGAACGTCGTCGTCAATCAAGTGTTACAACTCACTCTCTTTGCGATAGCGTCGTTTGCGTTCGAGATACTCGAATATGTACCTCGGTTCGGCAGGGGCACGTCGTCCAGCATGTAGAGCAGGCCGTCGGTGGCGAGGGTCATGTCGGCGTCCGCGCCGAAGCGCACGCCCGCGACGGTGGCGCCGCGCGCGTCGCAGTCGAAGGCCAGGCGCTCCGCGCCGCGCGTCGGGAAGCGGTGCGGCCCCACCACGGCGCCCACGCACACGGGGTGCGGCACCACGAGGTGGCGCAGCAGCGCTGCAACAGGCGCAGGACTAAGTACTCGGTATACTAAAAATAATTGGTTCTAAACGAACTCGGTACCAAAGGTATTTTTGTACCAAAAAAGTACTTGGTGCTAAAGGTGCTTGTTACTAAAGGTACTTGGCACTATAAGTAGTTCTTACCAAAAGTACTTAGTACCAAACTTACATGGCACTAAAAGCACTTGGCATCAAAAGTACTCGGTACCAAAAGAACTTATCATGCAATAAAACTATACCGTCTCTGGCCTCGTCGTCAGCCTCGAGGCGCTGCAGGCGCGCCACGGGAATCTTCTGGAAGGCCTCGTCGTTGGGGGCGAACAGCGTGTAGGCCACGTTCTGGCGCCGCAGCGTGTTGAAGAGTTCGGAGCGCTGCATGAGGCGGGACAGCTGCCGGAAACGACCGTCCTGGGGGGAGGACAAGGAGCGGCTCTCGATTAGGTCAGGATCTCGACGACGGCAAAGGAGTACATGATCCCGAACTCCCCCTTACCTGCTCAACCGCGACGGACAGGTCGACGTGCGTCGACCGCTCCGGGTCCAGCAGGGCGTCCACGATGTGCACCACGCCGTTGGTCGCCTCCTGGTCCTTGCGGACGATGGTGGCACAGTTGACGGTCTCGATCTGCAAGGTAGGTGCCATCGCGCTCAGCGGGTGAACAAGGCACAGCAGTTGCTGGAGTACTTGTTGACGCTCAGGTACTCACCTTTCTGGAGTAAGTGTTCACGCGTAGGCCACGGGTACTCACCTTGTTGGAGAACTTGTTGACGCGCATGCCCCAGGGTAATCACATTGCTGGAGTACTTGTTGGTGCCCAGGCCCCGGGTACTCACCATACTGGAGTACTTGTTGACGCGCATATGCCCCGGGTACTCACCTTGCTGGAGTACTTGTTGACGCGCAGCATGCTCCCCTGCAGGCGGCTGAGCAGCTGCTGGTCTGCGCCCCACGACTTGGACATCATCTTGTTGGCCACGATGTGGTGGTTCAGGATCGGGTTGTTGGCGCGCGCCCCCCGCAGCGCCGCCAGCTGCGCCGACGTGAGCTCCTGCGCGGGTAAAGGGTTCGGCCTGAACCTCGTCACGGGTACGACGGGGCACAGGTCGCGACCCATACATCCCTCATGTTTCTGTACTTTATTCCGCTCGTGATGACGAGCTCCCGAACCCTCTAGCCCTCTGCCTAACGAGTTCCCCGCACGTTTGCATTTTTCATGAGTTCCCTGAAGTTTTATCCCCGTGTGTTATTTTCGCCGGCCCGGCCTGGGCGGCGGAGCTTACATCCATGGCCTGGTCCGAGGGCGCGAACACCGTGAAGGCGCCCCCCTCGGCTCGGAGCCGGTCCGCCAGCCCGGACGACTCGAGCAGCGCGGCGAAGCGGGCGGCGCCGGCGGCGCGGGCCGTCTTCACCACGTCCTGCAGCGGCAGCACTGCAACAAAGGCGCAGCAGGGTGAGGCACATGGCCCCTCTAGGGGGTCATCCCGAAAGTACGTCCGTCATTCACCGCTCTCGTAGCGCCTGGTAGGTAGGCAACAACTCGCCTGCAGTGCATGCGCGTACTGCGGGGTGGCCGACCCCGAGTCTCGCAGGCGCCGGGCTTGCGTCCCACAGTTTGCCGAATGAACCCGAGTAAAACGGACGTAATTTCTGGACGATACCTTACGAGTAGGAAACCCACCCGAAGCATGCATGTGGTAATTTATTATAACTAACTACGAAAGTGAGCAGAGTAGATCAGCCACCTCCTAGTATTTTCGACGACCGGACATATGCATATGAGGAGCGTTGCCCCCCCCCCCCCTCTCCTTCCCTGCGGTGGCGGGTCGCCCCTGCGCTGCTGCTGCGCCGTAAAACTTTCGGGAAATTCTCAAAACTCTTTCGTGTTACGTTGTGTAGGGCTTAATGAAAGCGGGGGAGGTGAAACAGAACTCGACTCTTCGCGGCGGCGGCCGCCGCCGCCGGTCCCAAGAGGGGCGGGGCGCGGCAAGGTGTGGAGTGGGTTGGGGCTCGGAGGAGTCGTGGAGGACGGGGTCGGGTGGGGCTGAGCTTGAAGGGCAGCTTTGGGTTTGGGTTGGGGTATAAAAGACGTTTTCAAAAACAGTTTCCTGCAGGACCCGGGACCCGGGACTTGTGTGCGACAGCAAATGAGACTACACTGTAAACCCCGCGGGTGTCTGGCTGGTAAGGCGACTGAGTAGCCGGATCCAAAAACAAGGTGACTTCCGTCAGCCACCTGCTGGACAACGTCTGGTGCAGCCAGTGGACACAATAGGCGAAACACACTGACCTCCAGTGCAGCCGTGCTGGCCCTCGACGCGGCTGAAGCCCTCGCAGCAGTCATAGCGCACCACCCTGTCAGAAAAGAAAAGTCCAACGAAAAGGTATGAGAAACCGACGTTTCTTGTGGTGCTTCCCAACCGAGGGCCACGTTCACGGTACTTACGCCTTCCGACCGCAGATGTCACGGTCGGCCCAGTACTTGCACTCGGTCCAGATCTTGTGCTTGGTGCCCGGAACCTCCTCGATGACGCATGTGTTGGGACTGCGAAAAATTATAAGAAATTATGTTTTACCCTCTGCTTAATAAGGAATTTTGTGCCTTTTCACTCTTTATTGTGGCAACGTGTAGACGGACAAGTTTGGGCAAAAACATATCAAGTTTCGCAATTATAATTAT